AACTGGACTGATCGAGAAATAACCAAACCTTCATATATTTGTTGTTGGAAATCCATGAAACTGATTATTAAGAACTCGTACAAGTGATAAGATAACTTGCAAAGTCCATTTGGTGATCTTACAGGAAGCACAAGAGAGACATGGTAAACCGACACTGAAAGCGTGACGCCGGATGACGCCGTCTTTGAAGCACTTGACCTCAAAATATTGAATCTAAGTASAGGAAAGTCGATAAAAGCCCAGAAATAGGTAATATATAGCAGGAATATGCAATGTTTTGCGGTTTCTTGGGTTAAAAAGTAGTATTTCAGATAATAATGATTTTTTGAAGCAATTCATTGATATAGCCGCTCAGCGATAAACATCAGCTTTTTGATCAAATTGACCCTCAACGTTACTCCCAAAAACTTTTGCAATTTTGAGTGGCCCAAAAATTTTATTACATTTATCAAAAGACCAAACCTTGCTGAATTTACGGGTATAAGACTTATGATCTAATTCGAGGTATCATTGGAGATATACGGATTTGAAGCAGGCATAGTCTATACATGTGTAAATTATGTGACGAATTCAAAAATCGTTAAAATATTCAAATTTCACTGAATTTCATTTTTGAGACCATCTACTAGCTCGGTAATGTTCGAACTTTGTGAGAAATTGGTTAAGATGTGCAGTTCTTTTGAGTTGGGAGGCTTAACRAGACCATATTTAAACAACTTGAATCACAGTGAAAATTGACCCGTCAGTCGGCAAAATACAAAAATCCTCCTACAGTCAAAAATATTTCATGGATCAAAATTAAACACCTTTTTAAGTAATTAGGTCAACCTAAGGTACATTTTGACTGAGTTTGAGCGATTTTGATTTTTGACGTACTGCACTCGATAGGCGATATTTACAGACAGCCTCTCTTAATGCTCTTTATATACTTGAAAGACGGCAAAATTTCATTGTGTTTTCAATGATAGTATTTTGCTCTTCATATCGCTGTGGTGCCATAGACCGTGCGTGGTTGCTGCTAGCCTGTTTTTCTCTTTTTCTGCCCTTGCAAGTGCGTCTACCATGATGTCATGCAAATAAGAGTAGTTCTTCTTCTCCAATACAGGTTGGGCTGTGAATTTCTTTGTGACCTTSCTCCATTTAATCTTGTATCTTGCCTCTCCCTCTCGCTCACCCTTTTCAATGACTGCCTGATGGAAGATTTGAATTAGAAATTAAAAAGAAATATTATACAACCATCACTTCTAGAATMAAATTTTCTTCTAAAAGYTTCATGTAYTCATGAGCACTGAGTTTATATAGCTGCATAACAAGATACAAGTTACAATATATTACMGGTAATAGGAAATCATACCTGGTTTCTTTCCACATTTTTGTTGTGATCCAGGGCAGCAAGTTGTGTTCCTGCAATCATCATTTCATGGCTAAAATGCTGTATTTTAGGGAGATATTTSAGGTAAAGTGAGTGGTAGACTTCAAGCATTGTTGTGGTCACACCATAGTAGCACTGTCTCAAGTCATTCAAAATCCTCTTGTTTTTAACAATTTTCWCCAGAGCTTTGTGTGAAGGTGAGCCTGCCKTCATCCATTTCTTCTTTCGTTCTTCTTCTGGAGACWGTCRACCATGTTCGCACTTTTTATAAATCTTACAGCCTGGCCAACGGTGTCGGTTTACAATGTGATGAATAACTGAAGTGAATCTTTCAACTAAGTTGTCAGGATCCTCTTCACATGAATCAACAGACCACCAGAAATGGTTAATTATAGAAGGCCTCCAGTCCACAAGGTCAGTACAATTCTTTTTCTTTGCTGCTGAATTGATCTTTTTTTTTCAATAGACTTAGCTAAGTGCCAGGGGTCAATTTGGTGGATCTTGTCTTTATGGGATTCTCTCATGTACTTCTTGATTTGAGTATGGCGATCTGTTGAAATTCCATACACTTCACATTTATAGTCATTTTCAATTCTTGTTAGAGTCTTGATAAATCCTTCTTTTTCCATTGCGTTAGAGTTTTTGACATCCATAACCTGAACAACTTCGATGTCAGAGTCTGTGTCAAGAAAGGTATATGTACCATACTTGGCACTATGTCCAGGAGAATCACACCTTCCATCACCAGCAAGCATTAGAGATTCTTCTCTTGCATTTAAGGAATTTATCAATGCAGAATGTTCTTTCTTCCACTCATTATCAATAGACGGTATGATGTAATTGTTCCTTAAGTTGTAAAATGTGCCACTACTTATTGATTTCAGATTAAGTAATGGTGCCATTTGTTGGAATTTGGCAAACATTATGCCACTAAGCACTATTGCTGAAGTTAACATAACATTAACTGAGCCCCTTACATGCTTCACAGCCTTTTCAGAGTTCCATATGTAGCAACAGCCATTAATACAATTTAATTCTATACTGAACATGGTACCTTGGTTTTGAAAGATCTTAATGTTATCCATTTCAAGAACACTGTTAGTGCCAATTTGTTTATTTTTGGTCCCTTGAGGACGCTTTAGTTAAGATAATATATGTAAAAACCCGTTCGTAAATTTAGTTCAACGTCAACCGTTTACCGAGTAACAGACACATCGTTTTGTAAGTAATTTCGTTTTATATTTTCCTCTGTATTTTGTCATTTATCTAAGATGTAACGTAATTTATATTAGGAACTCTTGTAACCGTAACGTGAAAGGAAAGGAAAGAGTAAAACATGTGTCAACCTACAGTAATATCGCAATAATATTCGTTCAAAACGATGTACCGACGTGAACAACCGGAAAGAACCACTAAAGGAATCACTTACAACATCAACTTAAAGGAATCGAGATGCAAACTTCTGGCGTCCCGCATGAAAAAGTTAATGAAAGCCATTGAATCGTACACAAACCATGAAGACAATGTTCATCTTGTAAACACTGGCTTAGAAGAACTCGACGACTTGAAAGAAAATTTGCAGAGTGAATATCAATCCTGGATAGCCCAACTTAACGAAGAAAGAGAAGTAAGAAGTGCACAAAGGTGGTTTGACGGAAAAAGACGCGAAGTTGAAGTATTTGTAAGTGGTATAAATGATTGGAGTACTGTCGCCAAACAAAGGATCGAAGAACAACTTGAWAATACACCGTCAGACAACTCAAGCGTGATATCGGGACAGTCATCGAGGACATCCGCCAAATCAGCAGCAAAAACAGTCCAAACAGCGCCTGTGCCATCCCAWACGAGAGAATATTACGATGACAAAGGMATGTCAGCAAGTWCTTGGCCGAAGTTTAACTTAACGCCCTTCTCATTTGCATATGAAAGGAGAGAAGRACTGGTTTCATCTAATCTTGGTCGAGCAAATAGCGCCAATCCATCTGCACGAAATTCAAAGGCTACACCTATCCCAACATCTCTTGCAGTCAAGTCACCTATGGATACTTACAGAGGAGATGAAGATGAAATTTTGCTGGAAACGCGTTCTGCTGCTTATTTGAAAGAAGAGCCAGGAACTCCTCAGCCTAGAAGAATGGTGAGTGTCAATCCAACTCCTTTGCCTGTCAAGACGTCGCCTATACCACCATCCCT